CCGGTTCCTTCACTGATTCTCGATTTGGAGCATTGTTGATAGACTTGCCCCTTCTTGTTTGTTTGATTGCGTCGACAATTGCGGATGGCGGGTCGTCGTAATACTCCAACAGAAACTCATTAATCCAGGGATAATCAAACAACTCGGAGCAAATTAACCAAAAGCCCACCAAGGGATGCTCCAAGCGTAGCCGTGGATTGGACATTTCGCCGGAAAAGAAATGGTTGTCGTCCGGTTTGCCTTCAAACTCATCAATACCGAAAAAGGAAAACGGATTTTGTAAAGAAATCCGCATAGCCAAAATACGTAAAGACCAGATTTCTTCAGACGGATTCACTTCCATCGTTTCAGTGTCAAATGCGGCAATTAGGTACTGCAAGACGGGGTAATTTTCAGATATTTGTGATATCCGGACGGACGGGGCTACTTCTGTGAGCGGGATCTCTAGTCGATTCCCGCTTGGAATGCTAGTCCAGCCGTTAAGTTCTCGCTATGCTATTTTGGCAAATAGACCTCGCAAAAACACGCCCACCAGTATACCCAGCGATCGTCAACGGATGAATGATCGCCAGTGTGAAACCTTTGTTGCCATATTAGCTTCCGGTGGAGAAATATAATTATTTTTTCTCCACGGTGGAGAAATAGATTTTTTTTTCTTCCAAATTCGGGTCGAGCTTTTTACATTTCATGCAGGTGACATGACCGTTATTTTTTATAACAATTTGTTTGGCCATGCAACCCGCTTGAGAAGCAATGACACCCCGTCTGTCCCCTTGCCCCTATTTATGAAAATTACCCCGTCTTGCTGTGTCAATTGACTATTATCCGAATTCATCGATGTGAAAATGCGAGCGAAACGATCTTCACAAGTTGTTGTCCCAGTATTGTTGTTAAATGGATCGTCATACCGGAGGCAGGGTTGGTTCCAAGCAGCAGGAAAACGTTCTTCCCACGCCATAAAAAGCGCGTTACCCGTATGGATACGGTCATGACGTTCCAATGCTTCGTCGACAGCA